TAATAACGATATCGAACGATATTTTTAGTTTATTACGATATCTTGATAAAAAAAATCGTGAGCACAGCTATATCTTTCTCTGCATTGTCGCAACAAAATGTTCCGAAATGAATCCGATTAATAAATTTCATGCGGGAATTAAAGGGAAAGTTCGGTATGATTCAGATGGTGGTGTTCATACTAATAATAAAAGAGCGTGAATAGAACAGTGTTTGCCTTGGCCCATAGGAAAAGATGCACGCGAAAAACCAGCATCTAAATTAAAATTGTCACTGTCACTAGACACATTTATTCTGGATACAATCAACATCACATCTGAACAAAGACCTCGCAATAACCTTACCAAGAATTGGATGGTTTTGGATGTTTTAACATTTGGCGACGCAGAAAAGAAGCATCATAAATGGGAAGAAGAAAAGAAAAGTCGCTATTAAATTATGTGATTTTTCTCCAAATTACATCGCGTTTCTCTCGATACGGAGGGAGGGAGAGAGAAACAGACAGAAAGAGAAAGAGATAGATAGATTGTCATATATCGTATAGATCTTCGGTACAGTTTGTACACGCGCTAGAACGAGTCGCCCCAAAGCATTAAGTGCCAACCATCGAGACTTCTAACGAAAGAACATGCTTGATGATGGAATGAATAAGTTCAGCAATTGTGCACAAAAGATAAACTTGATATGTGTCAATGTCAGATTTTGTGCCGATAAGAGCAGACGACACATAAGGTGCTACACCAGATCTTGACGATGACATCGTTGCTTCCGTTCAGTTGTCTTTTGGGGAGGTCCATACCAATGTGATGTTCTGCTGCTCAAAATTTCATCGTTGCATAAAACGAACAAAAAAAATTATTTGAATGCAACAACACCGCTGGATGGGAAATAAGCTAATCAGCTGCACTGCTTATAATTTGTTTTTCGTTTTCTCATTGTTCCATTCCACAAAAATTTTTATCTTAAATATTTCAATGGAAAAAAGCGCAAAAAGTAAAATAGAAGAATGAAAATTCTAGACAGGCATTGAAAATGACTCATCATATAATGGGAGTTTGGATTGTTTTTTTCTTGTTATGTGTGTGGGTAGTGTTAATACAAATGTTGTGACACGAGTGAGTGTTGAAGGTTTCGCTTTCCTGAATGTGGTGTGTGTATGACATAAAGAAAAGTTACCATTCGATGCGGGCACAGAAGAGAAATGAAAAAATTAATCGAAATAAAAGTTTGAATGCAGCTTCTGGCTCAAAGTTGCTTTTTAAATTAGTTCTCAGTTGATAAAAAATAACAACACCAGCTTATTTATTCAATTCTTGGCAAAACTTTTTTTTGTCTTTTTAAGAATGAAAAAAAAAAAACATTTGACTGTGGATTTTGTCTATTGTTTTTTAATCTCATCTGAAAAGTGTCTAGTTCCAACTATGTGTTTTGTTTTGCGTTCCAACCACTTGCCATCATCACGATTTATGATGTTGAGTGTACTCCGTCCTGGATCAACCCTGTATCTCTTGTTGTGCATTCAAACAATTTATCTACATGAATTGAAATTAAAAGTTCCTTTTTTCCATTTGGTTCTCTCCTCTTCTCCCATATAAATAGATAACTCAATCTTAAGCTTGCTCAATATCCGTGGCTTTCCATTTTAAAGTTGGAAAAATAGCAAATTTTATAATCGATAAGCAAATCTGATACGAAACAAGATGCCATGAAAAAAGTTTGCCGAGCGTGTTAACGAAGGAATAAAGCATTGGTTTTATTACCAAGTTGAAACCATCACACAAATTTGAAAATAGCATGTGCGGATAAAAGTATCACATCTGCCTCCGAAGAAATGGCATACGACACAACAACATCACTTGTCGATAGCGTTAACGACGATGAAACCCGTCTCAAGCTCTATCTCGTGACAGACGCATCCAGGAAATATTATACAAACCCACGTTCAAGTTTTTTGTAAACTACAATACACTACATGCATATATAAACAAAACTACAACAACTTGTATTGGTGGTCGCTTTACAGCGCAAAAATCTATTTTGAAATAATTGAAAATAATGACATTTCGTGTTCCCGAGCCAACTGCATCAAGGTCTTACATCAATGTAAATTATCATAAACTGTTTTTCATCTTTGTTTCGTTCGAGCAAACAAGATTTGATTCGAAATTCTGATCTACGTACATAAATCAGGTCCAAGTGTAATATTCACACAATAAAAATAAATGGTAATAAATGGGGCCAAATGCGAACTTACTACGTTCATTCGCCGCCGCCGCCGTCTCCGCCGCTCAATGTTCACCGCAAAATGGTATAATCTGTGAATGAAATATATATTTGTGAAACAAGTAATGTATGAATTTTTACGTTAAGAAAAAAAGAACAGCGAAGTATATATTTTGGGTAAATGGAAAGCAGTGGCAACACATGCGGTGCGCAAGGATCGATGTTTGTGTGAAAGTCTGTGTTTGTCTCTCGCAAAGATGAGAGAAGAACGTATTGAGAAAAGGTAGAATTTTTTAGGGGATTTAGAAAAATTTGCGAGGGATAAAAGAGGTCCTCAAGATTTGCTCGGAAATTAAAGAAAGAAAAAAAACTAAAAGAGAAAAAAAAACGAGAAGAGAAAATACAGCAAATTTGCGCTGAAGCGAAATTTTCGGGTTTTTTAACAATAAAACGCCACGAGTAAAAAGAAAGAAAATACCCTTGTGGGACCGATTTCTGCAAGGCATCAATTCGTAGATGCATTTGAAACGCGATGATCTGGCCCAGGCTCATAATCAATGTTACAAACAAACGAGAGAGTTTATGTGTGAAGAATCGAGAAAAAACAAAACCAAGAAGGTTCAGTGAGTCATTTTGACATACACGTGATCCTCCGACATATACGGGCCCAAATTTTAAATATGTTTAATTTGTTTTTCATATTTTGTTCTTCGGAGCACACACAAACACACACAACAAGATATTTGTGCCTTCGCCGATGTTAAACGTGTTATCAGCTTGGTTTCACTTCAAGTAAATATTTGCTGATGGTAACAACTGTAAAATGTCGCATGGACTGCAGTCTAAAATCAGATATCGATACACACAGACACGTTGAAAAAAGAGCATAATCATGAATATAAAATAATGAAAATGTAGTAAATTTTTTGCGACCCCGTAGAATCCATGTCAATTTCGTCGACATTTTCACCTTAAAGAGCTTGTTTTTAATCTATGGTGTTACAATTCACTTTGTTGAGAATTCGAATTGCTAATGCTGAAATGTTCCAACCCAATGCATTGGAACGACGACGCGGAAAAATGTGGGAAATTGCCGATGAAAATTATGAAACAGTATATATAGAACATTTCGGGTGGTTCAAGCGAAAAAAAGGCCATACATTTTTGATAATCTTCTCTCAAAACACAAAGACAAATATGCCGTTGCTGTTTGATAGTACATTCTCCAGGTAAGGTATTTTCTGTGTTGTACCCGCATTTTTATTTGATTACAGCAGTTTTGTTTATTGCTCGAGCTCATCGTGCTCTTTGACACACGTTCGTCCTGCACGCATTTTTCCTTCATTATTTTACGTCGACATTTTTCGTTCAAACAGTATTTGTTTTTAATGCTTATTTAAGCTAATATTTTTGCTTGCTTTTACATCGCCTTTGTCGTTACGATACCTTTATGTTTACTCATTACTCACGGGCCACGGGCAACGGGCCACGTACATTTATCGAAACAAAATAATGTGAGGCCGAACGGGAGAAAGAAAAAGAAAAGAAGAAAATATAAAGTCTATATGTGAAAAACGACGAAAACAGGCAAAAAGAGGAAGACGCGATCCGAGACAATCCAAAGTGCTTCTACGTGATGACTGGATGGTAGGCAGTTGCAAGCACAAATATTTTGTTCGTTCATTTTTCATATGGAGGCAAAGCATAAGATGAAAGCAGGTTTTATAACTTTTTGTTCATAAATAATGCCGATAGAGGGAAAACAAGACCGCAATAAGAGTTCTTTTGTATTAATTAATTTTTTAATAATACTATGAATTGAAGCTAGTACTAAGAAATCTTGTACTTGCACAAAAAACAAAAATCAAATTTTCTCAGTTCCCTAAAAGTGAATTACAATATCTTTACATGAAAATATACAGCGCCGCCTGCCATTAAAAAATCCTATAGTATTCGCATTCATATCGATTCACTGTAGCAGCAATGCGTTTTATTAAATCCCCAAGTTCCCATGTAGTGTTCATGCAAACGTCAAATTAATCTGAATTTGACAAGTATCAAACAGCAACGAATCTGCACTACAAGAGAATTCAATCTGCTAAAGTGATTCGCTATGAATGCAAATACTAGTACTATAGGATTTTTCAATAAGGTGTGCCAGTATATTTTGATGTGTGTTGATTTTATTTCATTTTTAAAAAATAATGCACAAGATTTAAATTAAGTTAATAATATGTGCATAAATAAAAAGGTCACTTCAATTCTATTCGATATTCAAATAATAACTGGATTAGAAGCTCTGCATTTCATGTAGTGCTAAAAATGCGAATCGAAATGTGATTGGGTCGTTCACATTAACTGAAGTTAGCCAAACGGCATTCTTATATTTCAATCCCTTCTCTCATCATGCTCACACAACGTATGTATACAATAGCTGGCTGACATTCATCGAACATTGTTTTCCACTCGAATCGACATCTGAAATCATTCTCTGCCTTTCGATTAAAATAATAATCGAACAATTCGTTCGGTTACCATTGAAGCGCTTGGATGTTTTTTAATCAATCGATTTGATAGTGCAGCGAGTAGCAGCCACTAACTTATAAACATGTGTTCTGTGTGAGTGAGTGGGTTTCTATGTGTGTGTTGGATAAATTTACGTTTCTCTATCGCATCCATACCGCCACTCACGTATATTCAATCGATTTTTTCGTAGGGTTATTCATTCCAAAAATAGAACCTTTACTTTTGAGTCGATTGATTTTCATTTTGTAGACAAATACATCAATGGATTATTATCTGTTTTGCATAAGCGTAAAATGGCTTTGTTTTTTGTCCGGTCGCACATAAGACGAGGTTTGGTTTGTGTCGTTGATGGTAAATTGCTCGTCCCGTAGCTTTTACTTTTTCGATTTCAGTTTGTTTTTTTAATGTATCTTTGCTTCATATGTTGAAAGTATCATTAATGTGTATTTCCAGCACGGCTCCGTTGCTTTGTTGTCTTCCCCGTCTCGACTCGCTCATTGTGTTTATCATATTTTATCACACGTTTTTGCATTTTTGATTGAAAATTTGTCGACACTTAAAATAGATGCTACAAAGTCAAACACAATTACCGCTCGCTGTACCATATAACTCTGTTTATATCGAAAAGTGGCTGTGCTTCAATGCGTGAGCTCTGCTCACACTAATTATCCAGAGACGAAAGTATCGATTTACATAGACAATTTTCAGGTTTTTCGAAATTCGATCGATTCGTCAAAGCCTCCCAGAAACCAATTTTTGAGGTGAGAGAAAAGTAGCTTTTGGCCGCTTTTGGAGAATAGCACTCACTACGTATTGTATACATATAGATAGACATGACGGCGATAAAAAAAAATGATGTTTACCGCATTCGTGTTTTCACCAACACCGAGATAAAATTCCCTCCGAATTCCAAAATCCGCACCGACGGATTTGGTTGAAACAACGAAACTCTGGATTATATTTCACTTTAGTTTTTCACATATTGACACGGTGAGGTTGACCCTTAAATGCGCAATTTTTTATTTTTGAATCATTTTGATATATGTTTTGTGCCACGATAAATAGAAAAAGACCTCATACTTGGATTTTTGAAAAATTGCGTATTTCGGAACAGAGTCAAAAGTGTCAAATCGCTATAACAGCTTGAGAAAATTAAATTTCATAAAACTAATGATGCAGAAAGTTAAATTGATGTGTTTTGTTCCTACAAGACCTAATTTGACAATTGAAAAGAATGTACAAACCCACAAGATAAGAGGAGGAAAAATTTGGAATTCTGCTATAATTTCGCATTTTTTTTTACAGCAGTACATGAACAGAAAAAACTGTCCATTCAGCTAACCAATTGTAGCCGGTAAGGTGTCAAATGAATGTTAGTTCAATTCCCTACATTTGTTTCCAAACAAGAATGCAAAAATATTCAGTAGTCTCCTAGCTATAGCGTTTGCTGTATCTGGTAACTTTAGAAACCAATGCGTGATAAAGGGTTAATATAAAGAACAAACAAGTTTGGTTGTCTGCGGTACACACTCCTGTACTGTCATTGGTCGGAAATAGAACATTTTATCGCTTTTTGTCAAATGCCAGGCTGAAAAAAAATCCGGAATGGATATGTTATGAAATTATACACTTTTACTTCAATCTACACATAAATGTAGTCGTGGTTGAAAACTTTTCTCCATTAAAGTTCTATGTCCCGAATAACTATGTATAACAGAGCGTGTTATGAGCTGACGTCAGCAGCACTAAATAACGTCAGCTGCTGATATCAGCTGCGGACGCGTTGCGTTGTTTAAACGCAATTTGCAGTATGAAAATGAGATATCCTCCAAACATAACAATGTTATGATTGCTTAACCCTTTCGTTTTTATACTTCAAATGCGTTGAAACAACGCAACGCATGCTCGTCAGCAGCTGATGTTAGTTAGTGCTGCTGACATCAGCTCATAACATGCTCTGACGTATAATCACAATGAAAATTAAAACCCATCTTTATGGTTGAAACTTTATTGAAAAAGATCGGTTTTTTTATTTAGAGTTTGGAAAATGCATTTGAAAAAATGACCAACGAAATGGGCAAAAGACGTATTTTCGGTAGGAAAGGAAGCGAACCAGAATTTATCGGCACATAAGCGAATAACAAGGGTCTAAATTATTTCCACTTGATGAACTCTATGACAACTAGCATAACCTGCTTTCTCATCCGTTTTCGATGGAAGCTGAGCTAAGGAGCAACAAAGAGTTTTCTTCTTTTTCCTTCAATACATTTATGGTTATTGTTATAATACATATACTTTTAGTGGACTTGACGCCAGTTTTGATTTGTGCTAAAAGTGTCACAGCTGGAGAAACAAGTTGATGACAGGAAAGAAAATAGAACGAAAGTCGCCATCAAAAAACGAAATTGTTCGTAAAGCACTTTTTATCTTTTGTTGGCATTTGGACAGTTTTTACACCGTTTGGTCGTGTATAAACTGAAAATATGTTTATCCCTCGTGTTGTGTGCTTTGTACCTGTGGCGACACACACAAAACGTATTATATGTTTCGTTTGTATGTAT